GATTTTTCTTCCTTTTTTCCCTTTTAAGGAAAGGTATTAAACCTTTCTTCCCAAAAAACTTCCCTTTTTAAAAAATTGGAAACAGTTTTAGTTAGCTATTAGTCTCGGCGAAGAGGAAGGACCAGAAAGGGTATGAAGGAACGACTGCCCGTCACTCCCTATCAAAACAATGCTCCGTCCGTCCTCTCGAAGACGCGTGGCCAATCGCCTACCCGCTAAGGCATGCAAACCATGAGTACCCCCGCAACGACGCCTTCCCCCCCCCCCCCCCCTGCCCGCCGCAACGCACCGGAGGTGCAACGACCCGGGCTGACCCGGTCCCTCCCCCAACCAGACGCTGCGCTCCAACTCCAGCCGAACCGTGGGGCCCAGCTTCACCCTCCACCCGCCTCTTCGTTGACCCCCTCCGGGGTCACCGTTTCCCTTGCTTCCGAAGGTGACCGAGCCGATTCTCCTGGGATGTACCCCGAGGGACGCCAGTGACTCGGCACCCTCCCCCGTGAGGGGACTCCAGGGGCGTGATGGTGGCGAGAGTCGGGGGTCGAGCGCCAGGCCTCGCTCCTTTGAGGGGAGGGTGCGCGGGAAGGATAGGGAGCGACATGATACGAGGAGGCGTTGATGTTGAGGCGGGGGTGCGCCAAAAGGATAGCCAGCGAGAGGTTCGACGGGGGGCGGGGGGGGTGCGCGGGAAGGACAGGGGGCGACAGATACAGGGGGGGGGGAGGGGGGGGGCGGGGGGCAAGAAGGGCTTCGCGCATCAGTGGTTCTTGCTTGTTGTGCAGTACAGGATATTCGGGGTACGTACAGCGCTAGGTTGATACGTCGCTCTTCTCACGCCTCGGACAGATACAAAACAAAATTGCGTGGTGGTGTTGTGAAGCATCACTCCCCCCCGTCAAGCCTTCGACCAAAAAGAGGCATCGAACATCCCACCATCTACCTCTCTCTGGCAAACACTTTGCTCTCTCACCACCAAATGGGGCGCTTTCTCTTTCTCTCTCTCTCTCTCTCTATGTATATATATATCTGTCTCTGTCTCCCTCTCTCTCTCTCTCGCTTCCTCTTTCTTTGTCACTCCCTGTTCCCTTGTCTTTGTCTCCCTGTGGCCCCCGTATGCATGATACGCACCTTGACTCCTGTCATGTGATCCTTCCTGCCACGAATCAGGTGGTAGAGCAAGTCTCCGACCCGCGCCCCTCCCCCGCCCCACAACGCCTCAATGTTCAGAACTCCACCGCCGCCGCCGCTGACGTTCCTGTTATTCGAAACCACGGGGTACGGTTTAAGCTGGCAGCATTCTCGTGCAGTCATTCCCGGGTTTGGAGTAAGCATAGGAAATTTGTCGAGGAGGGAAGTACGCTCAGGTATTGCCTAAGTTGGTGCCCGATGGGGCGCTAAAAACGGTGGCGGCGAGGGAGAATAGGCGAGGTCTTCAGCAGCCGTCTGAATGGCCTTCTCCCGGCTTAAAACGCTGCAGGGCTGCGGCTCGTTGCTGTAGCTTTCATTGGTCATCAGTGATGCGCCGGTGGCATGCCCTTGAACGCCAGACGTGAAACTGTGCCACATTCTTAAGCTGCGTTTTATGAGGGAGCTGGTGCTCTTGGTTCGGTGTCCCCGACCCCCGGCTCTAGCGGGAGAAACTCCAAAAAAACAGTAAAAGTTCTGCATTGATTACCCATCGCACACACCGAACAAGGATTCACTGGGGAAAACTGGAAGGCATGCCGAGGTGACGCTCAGAGGCAATTTTCGCCGAACAACCAGACCAAACGATCGCCCAACGCTCGACAGCCGAACCAACCGATAAGTCGCAAAAGCAGACACGGACACACAATCACCCTACCACCTTCCCTACGTACTACAACGTCTTCCACCAAGAAAAAGTATACGCCCTCCATCTCTCACCCATCCATCGGCTCAGCCCTGACGTTTCTGCCCCTCCTCCCCCCCCCCACTTCTTCTTCTTCTCCGCCATCGTCCCCCTCGGCACCGGTTCCGAACACAAGCAGACGCGCAAGCACGGTCTCCAGAGCCTGCCCATCGGCCATCTCCTCGAGATCGCTAGCCGCCGGCAATCGCAGCACCCGCCCCCTATTGCCGCAGCACCAGGGCGGTAGCACCGGGAGCGATCGGATGCCGCCCGCGCGCGCCTAGATGATAAAAAAAGTTGTTGTTGTTGTAGTTGTAGTTGTAGTTGTCTTCACATTAAAAACCGTTCCGGTCTCCGCTCAGTACCTTCTAACCCCGTACTGGTCCAACTACCGGTGAGGAATACCGTTGTCACAGGCCAAATACCCCCTAAAACCCAAAAAGGGGGTACGCCTTTCTAGAATCAAAGAGCGGAAAAACAATAGACCCAGAAAAAAAACTTCAAACACGACAATAGTATATCACAAAAAAAAATTACTGTGTTCCCTCTTTCATTCAGAGACAACAAATAATTTCTGAGACAAATTCAAATTCGTCTCCCAATCGTGGAGACATGGTCCATAGTGTTACTATGACCAAACCGGTGAAACCACTGCCCTGTACAGGTTTTGATTCGATGTTGTTTGTGCAAACACCCGGTGATAAGACAACCATGTCTTTTCGAGGGAGGCCGTAGGGCCAGCCGCCTAAGCGAGACCGGCTTGTGCGGTCTACAGCATCCAGTCTGCACCCCTGATACAACCATTGATGCGTGGGGTATGGCTGTGGTATGGGACACACATGTCACGGCGTTTTACATGTAACTGACGGCGCGGAGCGGTACCGATGCCTGCGACAACACCACGGAGCCCCCTACATTCTCCCGATTGTCAGTCACTGGCGTGCCGCCGCTCACACCCGTACCATCAGCCATAAACCCACCAAATACCGGGCGTCCGTCTCGCCGCCTGTTCGACACTGCCTCGGCCGCTGCTGCTGATAACGGTGCTGCCGACCTCTCCCCGAACCCGCGCCCCCGGCGGTAGCGCCAGTCGCAGGCCCCCCTACGCTGTCATCGTGGTAGGTGCGGCGAGCGGCCGACGATGCCCGTGCGAAGGCCGCGAGTCGGTTGGCCGCGACCACCGCGATCACTACCGCACGAAGGGACGGCGGGACGCGAACGGCAACGACGTCGTCACCGTCGTCCTGACAGTCTTCTCCTACGCAAGCGCCGTCGTACGGCAGGCGGCGGCCGTTGCCGCTGGGGTTTCTTTCCCGTCGCCGCGTGGTGGCGTTGTTGGGGCTTGCGATGTCGATGTCGGTTGCGGCGGAGAGGAGGCACCAGTAGTCCTTTCCGGTCACGGCGGCCGCAACGGAGAACAGCTCCGCCTACTTTCGGGAGAGAGGGAGAGTTAGAGAGAATTTGTGTGTATGTGTGTGTGTGAGAGAGAGAGAGAGACAGACAGGGAGATGGAGAGAGGGACGGAGGGAGGGAGGCTAGCGGCGCGTAGACATGTGTGGGGGCTCGCACTCTCGACATTGAGCATGGCCGTGCTTTTCTTGAGCCAGGGGTAGAGAAAAAAAAAAAAAAACGTACGGCCGAACAATCGTCCGACCTAAAACACACCAATACTGAACAATAATACTACCGACTACATGCATGTAGACCCGCATCTAAGTTTCGCAACAGGCAGCAGCTCTGCCGTCCGAGTCTTTGTGCGGCGCATCCCCTCAGCACGCACAGCCCTTTTTCTGCTCCATCATCACATCATCACATCATCACAACGGCGCAGATACTCGTCGGGGTCGGGGAACCCCGCAGACGTGAAGCCACGCTACACCCACTAGTACCTACCCCCCACACACGCACCAGCGGCAGCGACAGCGGCAGCGACAGCGGCAGCGGCAGCGACAGCGGCAGCGAAAGCGACAGCGGCAGCGACAGCGGTCGTCCTCGCCGCGCCCACATCGGCCATGCCGGCCGACGTGGTCGAGGGGGCGTCATCGCCCGCGTCGCCCGCGCCCGACTCCTGAGGCGCGGCCGGCGACGCCGCCGGCTCAACGCGCGCTACCGCGGGTATTGTCCGTATCGTGAGAGCGTGTGTTGTCAGGAACTCAACCACAACATGACACGAGCGTCGCCCACACACCACCCACATCGCGACGGTTACAAAGCCAGCAACCCTGTTACCCCCAACGCACCTGAAGCGGGGCATCTCTCCGGTAGCTCCTTGAGAGAAATCTCTTCTGCTCCCTCAGCTCCAGGCACAGCCGGTGCAGCGGCCCAACGAACCTTCCCAGAATTTTCAGGGCCGCCTCGGCGGAGAGCTGCCTCTCAACAGCCGAACGGGAGAGTGCGACGGCTGCCGTTTCGCTGGCTCTTGCCGCCGCCAAAGCCTGTGCCGCGCCGAGGGGGGGGGGGGGGGGGGGGGGGGGCCTTTGGGGTTTTGGGGGGCCTATTTGTTTGAACCTTGGGCCAACGGGGCGGGGCCAAACCAAAAAAAAAAAGGGGCGGGGGGGGGGGGGGAACCGGGGGGGTGGGAGGAAGGGGGAACCCAAAACGGGGGGGTTTCCCCCTTGGAAAAAAATGGAGAACCGGGGGAGGG